AGATCAAAGGAAATTGTTGCCAAAGAGCGAGTTGCTTTAATTTATGTAAAGATAATTGGCCTTCGACAGTTTACAGCAGATCAAATATAAAGAGACATCTGTGTAAAATGGGCTGCATCTGGAATCCACACACACACACACACACAAAGTGCTGTCACTGCAATATATACGGCCGTTTACTTATTCATGAACGGATTAAAGCCACTAACTCAATCAATCTACTCTCGCAGTTACCGAGGCTGACTTCATACGATAACATTAATGATGAATTACTTGTCTATAGCTGTTTAGTTCCCACCTTGTCAGCAGCTGCACTTCAAATGGAAATTTGGTGGAAAAAGGACTGAAAGTCTGGAATAACCGAGGCACTGTGCTGTTATAATTTATTACCCATGTTCTTCTATGGTGGGGATGTGCACTTTTGGCTCCAAACAACTACTAAAGTTATGAAAAAGACCACAAATAATTATGTTAATTATTTTATCACATTTCATTTTTGCAAGCCTGCTTTTTTGCCATGATTTCTGAACGATGCACATTTTCACTATTTTGTGGTAGTGCTATGAAAAGAAAAATACTGGTTGTGTATGATCTGCCTGCGTTAGTTTCAGTTAGGACCCCCAGAAGCTCTGTGGCATGTTGTCTAGTAAAATTTGTTAATATAGAATAACATATATTTTTATGTGAACTCCCTGCTTGGACGTCCAGGCTCCCATAGAAGCTCTTCTCTCCTTTTATAGCAACTTCATGTTTTCTTCGTGTGACTTATTAAGTAGAAAACCTGCATAGGGCTGCAGCTATCGAATATTTTTGTAATCGAGTACTCTATCGAATCTTTTATCGATTAATCGAGTATTCTAATAAATTACTCTATTGTGTTTTTAAACCATTACATCAAATAGCATGTTATAAAATATGAAAGACCTCTTGAAACGAGAAAGCAATTGCCAGTTATTCTTCAAGTTTTATTCAAAATTAGTTTTCAAAACTTCAGCACTTCAGCTGCGGCCGAAACAGCACCAGAACCGCTCAAGGCGCATGCGCAAACATGGCTCGCCAGCTGTTTCCCTATTAACACATGTTCGTTTTAATTTCTACACTTTTTTTTGTCTCACACTAACAAGGATTGTCGAAAGCATGTTTGCCTTGGTTATGTCAATTATACTGATCACAAAACATTTATTTACTTTCTTTCGTTTTCCTCCGCCACTCATAAATACCTGCGTCCTGCAGCAATCCTGAGGGACAACGGACATCAATAACAACACAGTAAAAAGTCCGACGTGTTGTAAAAACTGCTATTTTTAGCACATTTTAAGTCCAACGTGTTGCTACCAGACGTACGGCGTGAGCTGAAACTAAGTGCTACAAATGAAAAAGTCGCACAGTGTCCGCAGAATATATAGAAATACAGGCTAAAATGCATTATCTTGTAGAGGCTCCGAATCTGCTTGCAGAAGTGACATTTACATGTGGGTGTTTCCTGGTCAGGTTGCAGCATCGAGTATGTGGTGTTGTGGTAGACTAAATCCATTTTACAGTATTTACACTGGACTACGTTTTCCGCCTTACGACGTGAAAAATGGTCCCAAATCTTTGGCATTTTGTGTCTTTTTCGCACTCCGCCTGGGGTCCACATTGTCCGCCATGGCTTAAAAGAAAGTTAAGTTGCGTTCGCTACTCGCATGTGCATTCAGTGCAGTGTGTATGTGAGTCACTTATTTCGGTCCGGGTGAAACATGACCACGGGCAATTGAAAAGCCATGAATTAATTAAACAAAGTTTCGAGGCAGAGAATTTGACTCGAGGATTTTTTGTACTCCAATTATTCGAGGTACTCGAGGAATTGTTTCAGCCCTAAACCTGCATTTCTCTTAAAGGTGCATGTGGGTACTGCAGCCCATTTTTATAAGAAATAAGTGACTTTCTCGCTCCTGTTCCATAACTTTCATGGCTGGCATTTAAGGGTTAAGACTGATTTATGGTTCTCAGTCCGCGTCGGTGCGGAGACACGCTACGTCGTTGTGTCGGCACAAGAGCTCTCAGACAGGCTCACAGAGGGTGACAGAGACATGCCCAAATTTTTAAACATTCATCTAAAGTGACGGAGATCGTAAGCGTGTGATTGGTCAGTACGCTTCCTGTAAATTTGTCACCAGCGCTGCCATTGCCCCATTAAAAAGTAAAAAGATATTTCGCAGCAGACCAAGAACAGACTGAAAAATGCATCGCTGAAAGTCATAAAATATGAACATTTATTCACTCGTGATTGAAGGAGTACAACATACAGAGCAAGCGTTGAATTTGTGGACGGAAATGCTTAGAAAAGTGAGATTCGAGGTGGCGACTGCATAAGAGCTGGAGGAAAATGAAGGACAAATTTGTCTGTGTCATAAAGTCTCTGAAATACATAAACACATTAGCAAATACACTATCGTGGACCAGACACACGAGTGTTATGGTGGCAGGATACCACAGAAAATGGCTACGCCCTCTGTTGTCCTGGTGGTGCATTGCTTTGCAACTCCCCAAGTCCGAGAGCAAACCATTTCTGTCAATGCGTGTGCGTCTCTCTCTTACAGAGAAGTATAAATCAGGCTTTAGCACCAGAAGATTCTAGATGATGGGCAAAAACGAGTCATACACAGTAAGTTGCTAGGTAGATAAATACATTTCACTGTATTGTCGAGTTGTTGGTAATAGAAAAAGTAGCTTCAGACATTTTAGAGCAGACTATATGTTGCTAATTCAGCGTTAGCATTGTTAGCTCACCTGATAAATAAAAAGATGTCATGGCTTCTTAATGTTACATTAAAGAACTTCTGGGTCGCTTCTGTTTACTGGCTCACATTCTGTCCACAGCCCTGGAGCATTTTGCCGACTGGTGTCAAATAACAAACGCCAACGCAGCAGCGCTAGCTGGCACAGCCTCTTCAACCCCACAAGCTCACATTTTGCACACAAAGACTTTATTTAAAGACTTTGATTTTATGGTAACTTATATTTTTTCTAGTATGACAAATGCAACTTTGGTCTCAATTTGTACTCTGCTAAATTTTAATACTCACTAAAGAGTACAAATCTACCATCTGCTGGTAGAAATAAGTAACTGTGGTCTCATTAAAATGCAAGCTAAAGACTTTACATAATCAGAAAACTTCTAAGATAAAACTTTCAAGACAAAGTCTACTGGAGTTCAGTTTATACAACTTGACCCTTTAAGGGTGGAAAACTTGGGTAATAGTAACAAACTGTGGGAACAAAGCCTCCTTTCCACCAGATGTAAAAGCAGCGTGTAAGGTAGTAACAGAATTTACCCACAAGTTCCCTTCCAACAGAGAGCGTTTCAGAAGTAAAGCGCGAGTGAAAGCGTTCCATGCCGCTGGTCCCGCAAAGTCACAAAATCAAGGGGGGATTGCAACACCACGCATGATGTCAGACATCCACACACAAGCAAGGAGAAAGACAGCTGTGTGCATCCAAAAAGGTCTGTGGTTTATTTTCTGTTCCGTTTACATCGGCTATGAGGGTTTCACATGAAATCATGCATGTTTGCCTGCACGTGACTTTTACTTTGAAAGGTTCTGGATGTTTTACACTGCTTTCGTGTTTGACTTCCTGTCTGGCTCGATCTAAACTGCAGAGTTGGACGTATTTTGGAAGCACAGTGCGTAAATAAATAGACTTCTGGGACGTGTCCACTACAATGGTGACAAATTGCAGGGAAGAACGTTTTGCGGCCGTTTCACGTCTGGTGGAAAACAGGTGTTACCGTTTTTGACCAGTTGCACCACAGCATTCCTGGTGTTTTTTCAGCTGAAAAGGAAAAATACAGATAATGTGGCTCCTAATTTGATGAGTAACTATTGAATAATTATTATTATTTTAATTATAGCCCCAAAAAATTGCTGTTATAACTGTTCCCTAATCAAGCACGTAATGACAAATGCCTGCGAGCTAATAAGTTAAAGAACGATCATGTGAAAACAATTAGAAGGCAGCTATTGTCTCCCTACTGACGTTCTTTAATTTTATTATCTCCTTTGACAATATTGCATCTTTCCATGCAGAGAGCATCCAATTAGCTGCACATTGATGCCAAGCCACTGGGTGGAACTTTTACAGGACTAAAATGGCTCTTTAACGGATGCTCCTAGGAGAAGCTGAACTTCGGGCCTCGCCAGGAGAGACGCCACACTCAATCAGAGCTTACAATGAACATAAAACCATAAGCATTGTTTATGCATGAGGGATTTGCTGTCTCTGTCATCATCAGCTTGGTGGAGTTTGTAGAAGGGAAGTGAGTGGATGGGAAGTCATCCTGATCATATCCTATAATCACCACATATCAGAGGCCTCAATCATAACCCATTAACCACACCTATGGATACTACAAGCAAACTCATGCCTGGATCTGCTGCTTATTGACACATTATAATGTCTGATACTGGTTTATGTTGCTACCCAGTTACTCATACACCTTCAGGGATGAACATAAACAAAACAAATGATGTCAGTGATCGCAGATCGCCTGTATTTTATTCACTATTAATGGTAATAAACTAATCTCAGGCCACAAGAAAACAGCAACAACGCTGAATCAGACGTCCAGCTAGCATAAATGGGCCACGCGCTCCTAACAACCTGTCACATTAAACAAAAGCCCGTTCGTTCACATTGCTGCAAGTAATTAAGTAGCATCAGCGCGTGTTCCAGGTAACTACACAGGTCGTTACGTGTTTGTATAAAACGTGCCCACTTTTCTTCGCTCAATTATCAACGACCTAGCACGAAGCTGGATGCTTTCACTCACCAGATAGCAGAAACAACAAGTGCACCCGCGGAGCGGAGACAAAATAACGGTACCAGGGATTCCTGACTGCCCTGACCGCTACTCGGCTACCCTCATCTCCTCAGCGACGTAGTCAACAGGCCGGGTACACGGAGCGAGCTCAGCTACTTCAAGTCTCGCGCTTCCGTCCGGGTTTTCCTGAACCTACCTTGGTACGAGACACCGACTTCCAGAGGCATCCGACCAGGGGCTGCGGAGGCTGGCTCTCACGCAGCGGCAGACGAGTTTTGTTGCTCCAGAAAACCGGGAAGAAAGGCTGCAGCGGAAACAGGAACTGGAGGAGCTTCAAACTGTGAATACGGCAGTTCAGACTGCTCTGTAGGGATGTACTGAATGGCCGGTGTCAAAACAAGAACAGGGAGAAGGGGAAAGTCAACATCCGGTGGCGGACTTTCAAAATAATGGGCCCTAATGAGGACAAGTCAAATGCTACTCTTGTATATTTGATTATAATGGCTAAAGCTGACCGTTAAAAGTGTTTGACTCATGTAAATTGTATGATTAATTGTCATAAAAACGACATTCTTGTGATTTAGTTGAACATACGAGTTAAATGAATTGATACATGCTTTTTTTATAAACCCCCGAAAATTTTATTTTGTACAAAAAACAGGGTTTGTCATTAGCAGTAGTTGACATAGTAATTTCATAAGATTTTGCCACACTTATATTCTATTCTTTCACAATTAAAATGTGTCAATAAAGGCAACACAGCACTGCCTCTTTAATGTTGTTGGGGTTTTTATTTTGAAGGTACAAATGTTGTGTTCCCTAAATGTGCGCAGGCTGGCTTGATTTTAGCTGCTGCTGACCTCTGTGTGTGTGTGTGTGTGTGTGTGTGTGTGTGTGTGTGTGTGTGTGTGTGTGTGTGTGTGTGTGTGTGTGTGTGTGTGTGTGTGTGTGTGTGTGTTGGAGAGGAAGCTGCAGTGCGCACACCAGCGTTAGGTTGTTGTACTGCAGTCGGACTCCTTTACCGACAGACCCGGTGCCAGCTGGGAAAGCTTTTGCGCACAAACAGGGAAATGCAAAACGATCACTTCTCAATTAGGTTATTAACTACTGCTGCTCCATAATAAGTAGACTCAGCTGCATCACTCATCGTCTTTAATAACTTCCTGCATGTTCCATTTATTGAAACTAATCAGCACTTTAATTTACTATCACAAACAGCTTTTTCAAATGATAATGGACGTATTGAATATGCTTTAAGGTAGAATTTAAAACAGATTTAAAACACTTTTGTAAATGGTATAAAATGCCATCCTGTAATCGTTAGGTTAAAAAAACAAAGTCAGGTGCATTTGTTGAGAATCTGTTCTAGTGAACGACCGGCCCTTTTTCCCCCTTGGAAAAGCAAACAAATATCTACAATGAGACACATAATAAAATTTCAAAAATGCCAATTTTATCAAAACAGCCTTACATCATGACAGCATGTCATGAAAATGAGGCAAATTGCTATTTAAAGCTGAAATAAACGTGCAAAGCTGTTAAAGAGAGAGACAAACTGTGCATAAATGTATTATGAACGACTCAAAAAAAGACATAAAAGATGCGAGTCAGTCAACTAAATGCGAGTCAGTCAACTAAACGCATTTGTGAAATGCACAAAGCAACAGACGCATTACTAGCTAAAAAAACACACACACAAAGAAATTTTAATATTTGTTTAAAGACCTTTAAAAACACATATACTTTAGCAAAACAAATAAATAAACCTGAGTGACAGATGAAAACAGACAAAAGTACTAGAAATAAATAGTGGCTAACAAAAGACATGTAACCTTATACAAATGAACCAGAAAACCAATATGAGATAGAAAATAACAGTAAAATACAAAAAATGTTAATAAATGATGGAAAATTACTATAATACGATATCCTATACGTATACAATGCAATTTTGCACCATTTGTTTATTTATTGTATTTGATGTGTTTGACTGCACTAAAGGATTTTTTAAATCTAAACTTGAACTAAAGGCTAAAGCACTTTTAATCTCATTGTACTCATATACAGTGACAATAAAAGGCATTCTATTCTATTAGAAGACTGAACTGGGTGAGGAATTAAGTCTGATGCAAAATTATTGCTAAAAGAAACACCTAAGAAGCATGAATGGATGACAAATCAAAAGCTTCCTTTGAAGTAACTTCTTGGTAGAGGGGGGTGGGGTGTGTGTGACTTTTTCCTATTCCGGTCCGAAGGCTTGAACTTGAGGCAGGCCTTCAGAGAATCTGTTTTCCTTCATTCTTACGTCCTTCTCTGCACACTCAGCTTTGTGTGCAATCAGTCTTTATATACAGTGGTGCTGATGCAAATCTCATCCATTTACATTTGTTAAAAGAAAACCTGGGTGGACAGCGCTGGTGGATCAGCCATCAGTCACCCGGCTCGAAGGGGCCGCCGCAAAGGTTACGCTCAATCACATTCAGCAGTATGTGAAGACCTGCTTATTCAGTGATTCGCCGTAATCGTTCAGATTAAACTATGCTCATTTTTTATTGCAGGGGTTCCGCTTTGTTCAGCAGAAGTTCGTTAACTTGAAACAGACTCAACAAAGATGCTGCTCCGTGTAGCAGAGAGCAGTAGATGCCGTTTTGTGCAAATAAACACTCATTTCATCCTGATGGATTCACCCCAGATGGGGTCAAGCACGTTTGCAAGAGAAAAGAAAGAACAGGCATGTGCATGGATTTGTGAGGACAGCTGCCTGCCTGTGAATCAGTAAACAGGCTTTTCAGGAAGCAATTTGTTGCCCTTAAACATGCAATTTACTGCAACAGTCTACGAACCGCTGGATGTTTTCCTCGCCCTTATTTTCTGTCTCACTTGAGAATTAAGCCACTATATCAAATTCATAATACCCACAGGCTTTTTATTTGTTGCTGCCTTTTCATCCATTTCTGAAAAATATGCAGCGTGTCTCTGAGAGGTCTCTCTCCTGTGGCAAGGAGCTGAATCACAATAACAAACCCCCGCCTGCCTTTGTTGCACACGTTTTCCATTTCACTGTGGTGCTGTCTGACGTAGCAGTGCCATCGTGTGGCACAGAAGGAATTGTGCAGGTTCACAAAAAGGAAACGTGTAAATCTTGACATTTATCTTTGTGTTTGTTCAGAGATTCAGCAAAAAGATCTGCAAATTTTACACTTTGATCCCTAAATGTGAGTTGAAATGCTGCTGAGAAGCATGAACTTGTTCCACATGTCTGTCTGATCACTTCCTCAGTCTGATTTGATCCTAATCTGCTTAAATTAAATTTCTGATACATGCACCTGTTTTAATGAAAGAAAAACGCTGCAAACATGAATCGCATTAACGAATGCTGCAACGAGAAGTTATAAATAACGTTGCGCACATCCAAACTGCATGCAAATCAATCCAGCTGATGGTATCATCCACCTAAGGTTTGATGTCAGTGAATACAAATAAGAGCCAAATTGGAGCCAAATGAATCGGGCTAATTAAAGGATCATCTGCACATCATTAGTCACAATATAATCAGAGATTTAATTTAACTAAACTCTGAAAGAAAGTCATCATTTTGGAAAGCATGTCTTTCTTGTTGCAGCATAAAATTCTCTGATCTCTGCTTATGAAGCAAGGCAGCTTTGTTTGTTTAGCACATTTTACTCACAGAGGATATTCAATGTGCTTTCCAGGAGCAAGAGCAGCCAAATCAACATGCCCGCATAATTAAAATACACAAATTTCATTCAGATTTAAGAATCAGATTAAAGGCAAACGTGAAGGGTGAGCATCCGCAGCGCAGAAGGTGCAGCATAAGAAACAGCCATTCATAGGCTGATGAATGCATGAAAGGTTGAAATTTTGATTTAAACGTTTCTAGAGTTAAGGGCTTTTGAGGTCATGGGGAAGCTGAGTCCATCTGTGGGCAGCATAGCAGCTTCATCCTGCTTGGTTTGGAGATCTGACATGTATTCTAGCCCCATGCCACTGAGTGATTTATAAACTAGTAGAAGCACTTTGAAATTGACGCTGTAGTTCACTGGTAACCAGTGTAGAGATTCAAGAACAGGAGTGATGTGTTCAGTTCTCTTGGTTCTTGTGAAGACTCTAGCAGCAGCATTCTGAAAAATCTGCAGTTGCTTCACAGCTTTTTTGGGGAAACCAGTCAAAAGAGCATTGCAATAGTCCAGCCTGCTGTAGATGAATGCATGAATGAGTTTCTCTGGACCTCTGAGTCGTGCTATTTGATGAACAGTGTTGGGCAAGTTACTTCAAAACTGTAATGCATTATTTATTACTTGTTACCCTCATTTTAAAGTAATTCATTACATTACAATATTACTGATTTTAAAATGTAAGGCATTACACTACTTTTGCATTACTCTAAGTTACTTTCACCAATGCAACTTCAATATGAATCTGGTCATGTGACGCTCAGTGAGCTCATGACATATATTTGTGGAAGGAGATGTGGTGTCTGAGCTAGGATTGCTGTTAAAAACAGTCAGATATCATAACAGTGCTTTAAAATGATTGTTTATTAAATAAAAGCAACAACAATCTGTACTCTCAGCACGCTGCCATCTTATAGGGCCATCTGAGCAGGGAGTGAGGTGGTGGGGGCTCCAAGCCTATATTTGCCTTGGTCCCCAAATGCCTTGATACGGCCCTGGATTTGGCACTGACTTCTGGGGTGATCTGATTCTATCACATGTATAAATATTAAATGCTTATATATTATTGCTTTTCACTGGTAAAAATGTGTAATGGGGATAAATAAACCTACTTTTTTCTTTTCAAGCACTTTTTTTTTGTTTTCTTGATTTTATTTGAATAATTTCCTGCCCTTTATCTCTCTAACCTTCCTGCATGCTGCATGTTTTCTCCGTCTTCCAGAAAAAACTGTTTCCTAGACTTCCTACTTTCTATCAGCCAAAGGGATCTTCACATGCACGGCGCTCCAGCAGTAATGAGTTGAAATCACCAGGGTACAGATTATGAACTCAGCTCAGGCAAAGCATGTCAGAAAAGCACCAAATACCAGAGAATATGCGCTGATATGAACGATCGCAAGTGAATTATTTTTGTTTTAGTGGAGCGATTTTGTGAATGTTGCAGCGGCCGCGTGCAGGACGCAGCTGGAGTAGTTGAGCCATTGACTGCTGTAAACGTGCAATGACATTTTCGTGGCGGATAAGATGCGGCTGGCTTGACCGCGGCTCACCAATGATGGCTCACTTGACTGCGGTCCGTTACCGCGTACCGCTGCGTCCTCTCTGCCCGCAAAGCTGAGTCCATAAATGACGTAATATATGCAGATACTGGATCTTTCTTCGGGTTTCCCGCAATTTGAATTTTTAAGGAACACATCTTGAT